TTTTTCAAAATGTTCTCCATTGGTGAAAAATGCTTCTATTATAATATTTTGCCTGCATATAGCTCAGACCTCTGTACAGAGGCTCAACTAGAATCTGAAAAATTCAGAGTTACCACCGATTGAAATATAATTATTGGCGTTTTTTCCTTAAAATTGCTCCCCTCTGTTGTCGTAAAATATGGATAAACCCATTTCTAAGTTATATATTTCAAAAATTCGAGATGAGCCTCTGTAAAGAGGTCTGAGGAATATACAGGTAAAATATTATTATAATAGAAGAATTTTGCACAAAAGGAGAACATTTTGAAAAAAGGTTATTCTAAATTAATTTTTTGCCAAAATATTGTATTTAAATAATTTGTTTTTTCAAAATGTCCTTAAAAACAATTTTATGCATGTATTTTAATCTGAGTGACACTAAATATCATGAAAAGTATCTATTTATGCGCTTCTTTAAAATCACGGTTCCGAACGTAGTCGGATACCTTAATATAAATATGTATATGCATATGACAGAATCACACTATTAAGTGGCAAAATAGAAAGCGATTTTCCTTGCTTTATTTGGTGTCGGGTTATTATTTTTGTTTTTACTATTGGTTCATTCATAAATTACATTCTCAGAAATTAGGTTATCTCAGGTAGAATTCGAATCTACATGACCTTTGGGTTAGAAGTCCAACACGCTATTCATTGCGCTACAGGGATACAACGAGCGAGTTTCCTTTTTATATAGGGTGATAGGGTGTTGGACAATTATTTTTATTTGTTACTGTTTATTCATAAATTAAATTTAATAGATGAATTAATATTTGAAAAAACTGTATTAACATCAAGTGTCATCCACTACAAGTTTAAAAATATATTTGAACTTGAATGGATGAATAGAAAGTATTTTATTAACGAGTGAAAATTTGAACAAGATATATATATTGATGGGAGGCTCAATTTGCGACATATGTTGTCCCTCTGTATCTTCTTATTTTTACCTTTTCTCTTGTTTACTGGATGTTTTTGCATTCCTTAGGAAGGGTGCGTCCTTATCCCCTAGGATCGTTAGACTCGTAGAATGATTTTGTGTAGCACTCCGCAAGAACACCTACCCAATCACATAGAATTTGCAGCAATGGTAGAAAAGAGTGCGACCCCAGAATTTTGGTGTGAAACGGCAGACTTTATAATGAGCTGCACTCAAAATTCAGCAGATTTGAATGGGGAATAACTCTGTTGCACTAAATAAGCGAACGATTGTCGCCCAACCTGTATAGTGGTTAGCGATGCTAACTGCGGTGCCGTAGGGACTGGGTTCGAATCCCGGAGAAGACAAGGATGTTTGTAAATGTATATTGCCTTTGCGGCATGGAGGTACTCTAAATAGCCGTCGAGCCGCATGTCCTCTCGTGTGGTTGGTGGAAGGGGTAGAGAGGTGGGAGGCCCCTGACCACCCGCAGGTATCCTCCCTCAAAATTGGGGTGGAAAAGAGCCAAATTGTACTGTCGCCTGTATGGTGCTCAAAGCTACGGCTAACGACAGGCGTCACTTAGCCCTTTGGAATGATGAATTTCGTGGGCCTCGATCTGGCCTTTGCCGATCTGGTGGCATCAGTAGCAACAACAAGCGAACGATCTTATGACCAGCGAGAGAGCCCTCCCACACACCTCCTCACTCAGATAAGTCGTTTATTTTCTCGCAACGTGTAACTTCAAGTAGAATTTAATAATAAATTTAATGTGTGTTTAACAACAATTTGAGTGCAGTGAATCATTGTAGTAAATGATTTAATTTTAATTGTAGTGATGATGTACTTTAAATTCAAAAAAAAAAAAAAAAAAATCTGGGTTATTGCTAAATAGATTGAATATTTAACGGGTTTAACGGGACGTTGCATCAATATATATTGGGATATTGTGAACTAATAGTAGGAGTTGAATAAAGAAAAACAAAAAGAAAAAGAAAGAAAACTGTATAAAAGTGTGATGGGGGTACTCTCTGCTCTCATTAAACTAATTCTAAAATTACATGTGCTTGCAACTATGTATACGAAATTAGCACAGTAAATAAATGGAATATAACTAACGCACTATATTTTATTTAACATGCATTGATTAATATTTATATGGTACAAGTTTACCTTTTCTGAGATGCAAAGTTAACTAATGAAGGCAATCATTTTAAACAGTTAGCCCTTCGGTGTCCTGAGATTTTACAATGTGGGCCTCAAGCCAAAACAGTTGCCATTAACATCGAATCTTGTTACGCTTCCCATCACTATACGCTAATCATCTAAGGGAAAGAAACTGCTGGTTTGCGATTGGCTTAAGCGAGGGACTTACAGATTCATCCCCTGTCCCTAGTGAGAAATGAAATCTAGTTTCTCGTGATTATCGACGATGAACACCTGTCGCATTCCCTCCGAATTCTGAAAGATCCCTAGATAACGTTTTATTCCAAGCTCATCTCTTTTAAGGCCCTTACAGAAAGTGTTGGATTTGAAGCATGAATGAGGTTTTTGGAGGCGAGAGAGGAAGGTGAATTTCGTAATTTACATTTGATGTACTATTGTAGTACAAAATTTTGACAAAAACTATACTTTTTTTCTGAATTTTTTAATATCATAGGTCGAGAATCTTTTTATCTTTACAGGTCACATTTTATGTAGGCAGTATTAAGGAGGCTGGTTTAAATTTTGTGTTTGGTCAGTATATCTGTATATATAACGGATGAAAGCAACTCATTCTCTCATGATGGGAATTCCCGAATTATTAGGGCGACACACTTAAAATTTGGCAAGCGCGTTTCTTTCGTTGATTAAAGATCCGCTAAGGATGGGTATTCCTAAAATCGTCTTTTTAGGGGATTGTCTAGTTTGGAGAGGTGTAATAGAGAAAAAAAATCCCGTTTTCGAATTATTAGATAAAGTTTTGAAATTTGACCTACATGTTTTTTTTTTTTTTTTGCTGATTAAAGATACACTAAAAATAGGGAAATCACTGCTTTCAAGAAGTTGCGTAAGAGTAAAAGATATATATACACTCTGTCACAAAAAATATATATATGCACCCAGTAGAAAACGAGCTAGTATCACGAAACTTAACATGCGTGTAGTGCATAAGGAGTAAATCAAATGATTACAAATTTAGAAAAAAGAATTTTTTTTAAAAAAAGATATGGGAAGGAAAAGTAATGAATCAGTGGGTAGTAAATCCAATCTCTGGCAGCTGTACAAACCAAAATACGACGTGACATCGAATCAATAAGGTCGCTTATGACCTTTTGCGGAAGATTATGCCCCAATACTTGCAACTGGACAGTTAATTCACTAATATTCCAAGATGGCTGAAGTTGGCTTCCAAGCACGTCTCAGAAGTGTTCTATTGGCGAGAGCTCTGGTGACCTGGTAGGCAAAGGAAGTACATAATATTCTTAAGGAAATTGTTGAGAGAGTTGTGCAGTATGTGGATGAGCGTTGTCTTCCTGATAAATGATACCTGGGCTACTTGATAGTATAGGCAGTTAAAATTTACGGGCGTTAAAATTTCTTTACATAACTGCATGCCATCAAAGTGCATGAAAGAGGAGATTGTGTATCGCAACAAATCGCTCTCCACACTGTCACACCATGTGTAATCGTCGTATGTCTATCAACAGCAAATGCCTGATCGGACTTGTGGCTTGATCACCTCCACACTCGTATGCGCTGGTCACCAATGAGACTGGGTCGGGATTCATTGCTGGAGATGTCACAGTCTTGCTTGTCCGAGGTCGGTAAAAATCCAATTGACACTGCCCATAATGGGTAACGGTAAGCCTTCTTAATGGTTGTCGGCTTGTTATACCTGCATCTTTCAATCTTCTGCGAATGATTTTTCCTTGATACCATCAGATGTCTGGAAGGTGGTATATGGCATCGAACCGATTCTGGTGACATTTTTGGTGAAGACGTGGCAGCTCTTATGATTGCTCGATCATCACGCGCGTTTGTGTTTCTGGGATGCCATGACCCTTGGCGAAAGTAGACTATCCCTTCCGTGATCCATTCCTGACAATACCGAGCAATCACCATATCTCTCCGACCAAGGTCACCAGCCTCCAAGACCTGTTCCACCATCCTGCTTCTCTGAGGCCTACTATACGCTCCCTTTCAAAGCCCGGAATTTGTCTGTACTGTAGCCGGTTACGTTTGCTTGGCATCTCTAGTCACAATACCATCCATCTAAGTCGACAGACTTGTTTGAATAATCCTATGTAACGATCAAACATGTTTTTAAACTCTCCCGACTGAACATCTTATATAAGGTATCCAAACACGTTGTGAAAATAACCAAATTCACTCAAGACAGACAGTAAGCCAAGCTACAATCAATTTTATAAAGTTAGAAAAACCGGAGGTGGGTCTTTGATCTTCCAGAAGTGGGCATTTAAATTGTTCAAAATCTATTATGGCGAGTCTGATAACTCAAAATATTACTAATGTATTTCTATAAAACTTTTTCAACCTTATATTTATGCTATTTTCTAAAAAATGTCCTAAAATATTTCTTATTGTATGAATACTTTTTGAGTTAGATCCTGTTATTTAAATAATGGTCTCATAAAGAACGTGATTTTTCTTATGTTTGGTGATGTTTACTCAATCAGCTCTAAAATTTTCAAATTTTAATAAAGTATTAAAATTTTAGTACATTAAATGTATCTAATTTGTTTGGGTGATACTTTTACCGATATAGGTTAATTACTTTTTTCTCTAATTGCTTTAAAGTTTTACAAAAATATTGCTAAAATTTCAGTTATAATTGTGATTTTTGTGAAATTTAGGCAATTTATTTTAAGTATTGTTGGTTAAATATTAGCATTTATTGCTATTGAGTCCTAAAAAAGCATTTATATAGTTTAAATATGTTATTTTGTCAAAATGTACTTCGAACGTGTTCGGATACCTTCCTTGCTTCATTTGCTTCGAAATTTTGATTAATCGCACATCTCTTACCAGTCTCCAATCCTGGCAAGTTTCGTGAAAGTAGATTCGATTTCTTCTGGGGCTTATGTTACCGGCAAAGTATGAAATCCGGCATTGTATAGAATGCCTAAAACTAGCCGGCAATGTATGAAATGATTCTTATTTCACACATTGCCTACGCATTCTATAGAATGCCTAATGAGAAACCGACAAAGTATGAAATACATCTCCGATTCCTTTCGAATAGTGCGTGGCAAGGCACGAGACTTTTAACGCGGGCCTTAGGCTCAGAATTTGTCAGTTGCATAGTGTGGTTTGTTTGGAGTGTCAAAATACTCAATTTTACTTAAACTTTTTCAGCAAAAAATTGGTAAAAATTGGTTTTTTCCTGTGCTGCATGAAAATGGAGAAGCAACTTGTAGTGTTGGAGAACGAGTCATGGTCTATAGCAGGGGTAGGCAACCTATGGCACACGCTACAATTATCAGTGGCACTCAGCACTACTCAACAAATTTGTCAATTTTTGAATGAACTTCATAAATTTGTAATAGACCCTATTTGACAAACATCTCCAGAATATGGACAAAAGGAATTATGAAAAAATTTGCAAGAATAAGAATGGTCCTTGCGTGCAAAATGAAATGAAATGTAATTCAAAATACCATTCAAGCCTACCATATTGCAATAAGTAGATTAATTTTAAGTTATTATTTTTTTATTTGAAAATTTTGTTTTCCTTAATAACAGAAAG